CGGTTGCTGGAATTGGGTATGTCTAGTTTAATGAAGAGAAGGACCAGGGGGGACATGATAGCAGTCTTCCAGTATCTCAGGGGCTGCCCCAAAGAAGAGGGAGTCAAGCTATTTTCCAAGGCGCCTGAAGGCAGGACAAGAAGCAACGGATGGAAACTCATCAAGGAGAGAAGCAACCTAGAACTAAGGAGAAACTTCCTGACAGTGAGAACAATTAACCAGTGGAACAACCTGCCTCCAGAAGCGGTGAATGCGCCAACACTGGAAGCTTTTAAGAAGAGACTGGACAGCCATTTGTCTGAAATGGTGTAGGGTTTCCTGCCTGAGCAGGGGGTTGGACTAGATGACCTTCAAGGTTCCTTCCAACTTTATTATTATTATTATTATTATTATTATTATTATTATTATTATTATTATTATTATTATTATTATTATTATCATCATCATTCATGTGATCATCATCATCATCATCATTATTCATATTAAAAGAATCCTCTATATTATTTCAATTTCTTTTTTAAACCCTAAAAGGAGAAAACACTTTTTTTGTAGTTTGAATATTTTACTAACTTTAAACAATACTCAAGTATTGTATATTAAAGGGTGGGGGGGAAGAACCTGTTCATTTTAAACCCAGGACCCCCAACACAAAAACCACATTAGAGCTTTCATTCAATTATGTATCTCGCACCAACAGAAGCCTCCAATTAGCTCACGAATTCAAACGGAACAGAATAATCACTTTATCGTCCCTTTAAACGTGCATACGTGAAAAAGGAGATTTTTCTCTCCCTCAAGCTGATCCTCGCGAAGTATCAATCTTTTTTCCTTCTCTTATTTTCAAATTGAATCCACGGTACTTTACAAACTTGGGCAGTTATTCCGGCGGAATAATTTCCCAAACGGGCGTTCGTTTGTTTTTTTTGCGGCAAACTTATCAAAAATTCTGATCGTGACATGATCGATAGTTGTGACCGATTGTCAATGTCTCCAAACTGCATCCCTGTTACATGGCTTTTTCCCCCCAGAATTTGAACAGTCGCTAAAGAAGCGGTCATAAAAATTGAGAACACGGTAAAAGCTGCATATAAAGGGATAGAAGCATAAAGGAATAGAAGGGGAACTCGTCAAATTTGCAGATGACACTAAGGTGTCAGGAGTAGCCAACATCCCGGAAGTCGACCTCAGGATCCAAAAAGATCTTGGCAAACTTGAACAATGGTCCCTCTCCAACAAAATGAAATATAAGGTGGAGAAAAGCAAAGTTTTACACCTAGGCAGGTGTAAACCAGGCGAAACCTGGTAATAATAATAAATAATAATAATAATAATAATAATAATAATAATAATAATAATAATAATAATAATAATAATAATAATAATAATAATAATAATAATAAAGTTGGAAGGGACCTTGGAGGTCATCTAGTCCAACCCCCTGCTCAGGCAGGAAACCCTATACCATTTCGGACAAATGGCTGTCCAGTCTCTTCTTCAAAACTTCCAGTGTTGGAGCATTCACCGCTTCTGGAGGCAGGTTGTTCCACTGGTTAATTGTTCTCACTGTCAGGAAGTTTCTCCTTAGTTCTAAGTTGCTTCTCTCCTTGATTAGTTTCCAACTGTTGCTTCTTGTCCTGCCTTCAGGTGCTTTGGAGAATAGCTTGACTCCCTCTTCTTTGGGGCAGCCCCTGAGATATTGGAACGCTGCTATCCTGTCCCCCCTCGTCCTTCTCTTGGTTAAACTAGACATACCCAATTCCAGCAACCGTTCCTTGTATGTTTTAGCTCCAGTCCCCTGATCGTCTTTGTTGCTCTTCTCTGTACTCTTTCTAGAGTCTTAATCTCTTTTTTTACATCATGGTGACCAAAACTGGATGCCGTATTCCAAGTGTGGCCTTACCAAGGCATTGTAAAGTGGTATTAACACTTTACGTGATCTTGATTCTATCCCTCTGTTAATGCAGCCTAGCACTGTGTTGGCCTTTTTGGCAGCTGCAGCACACGGCTGGCTCCTATTTAGGTGATTGTCCACTAGGACTCCGAGGTCCCTCTCACAGTTGGTACTATTGAGCAAGGTAACCCCTATACTATACCTGTACATTTGGTTTTTCTTGCCTAAATGTAGAACCTTGCTTTTTTTCACCCTTGAATTTCATTTTGTTAGACAGCGCCCAGTGTTCGAGTCTGTCCAGATCCTCCTGTATCCTAAGCCTGTCTTCTGGAGGGTTGGCTATTCCTGCCAGCTTGGTGTCGTCCGCACATTTGATGAGTTCCCCATCTATCCCCTCGTCCAAATCGTTGATGAAGATGTTGAAGAGCACTGGGGCCAGAACAGAGCCCTGGGGCACCCCACGACACACTTCCCTCCATGAAGATGCGGTTCCATTGAGGTTGAAAAACAGTAACTTGGCATCCGAAGGGACGATCCCTTAAACAGGAGCCAGCCGTGTGCTAACACAAGCTAATACAATCCTCAGTTGTGTAAACAGAGGCCAACAATCAAAACTAGGCAAAGTCTTCATCCTGCTTTGTAAAGCCTTAGTAAGGCCACCCCTGGCATCCTGCCTCCAGTTTTGGTCACCTCGTCCCAAAA